TATACTCATGCGGCAAAAAAGTCTATAAGCCGGCAGTTGACTTCTCACTTCAAACTACCATCACCCCACTGTATGTCATTGTCGACTTCTTCCACAGCGCTCACCTCACCTTTTTTCTACCTTTGTGTCTGTCTCTTTTACATCTTTAAAACACTCTTCTGTTCACCCTTCCCTCTCGACTTTTTTCGATTTGATGTTCCTCCTCCTCTCGGTGAAGCCTGAAGTCAACTAAAGGGCTAATGATAACTATCATAAAGCCTGCCATTTGAAATAAATAAATAAATAAATAATTATCATTAGCACTTTAGTTGACTCCGGGCTTCACAGAGGGGATGAACATCAAAGTCTCAAAAAGTCGAGAGGGGAACAACTTGTTGCCGAATAGTCCTGTCAGGTGATACCTTCCAAAGCAAAGGTCATCCAAAGGAGTGCTTGAGAACATTGCGTAAAGGTGTGTTGTACTTCGAGTTTTCATTTTGGGTTGTCATTTTTGAGGCTTTCAAATTTCAGATCAAATCACTAAAGCAGTTGAAAATAACATTAAAGCCGAAGCGGGTGCGAAGACAAGATCTTACTTGAAATAGAATCCGTTTTTTCTCTATGCGAAAAGCCAGGTATTGGGAAGCAAGAAGAAAACTAATGAATTGCTATATATACCCCCCCCCACCCATAGGGAAAGCTGAAGTCAACTAAGGGGTTAATGGTAAATAACATAAAGCCTGCCATTTGAAATAATAATAACAATTTTTCGCTATACATTTCATATAATTGTTGATTAAATAAATTTTCACATACCACTTCATTTCAGCTCTATGACTTCTGATTACTTTAAAATGACTTTTCATATAATACTCTAGTAGATTTTTCTGGTCCTAGGATGAGAATGGAATGTCGTTCTAGGGATTTAACCGCGATGCGAAGTCCCATAGACGTCGAACGGCTAAGATGAGTCAAGCAAGGTATTTAACCAGTTCCTAGGCATCCAGGACACCCAGATCAATCAATTTATGAACAAATTAGGTTTAAACAGGAATGCTTCTTTTCGTGACGACAATCATATCTAATTGACTGAAATATATATTGTATTTGATGTATTACACTTGAGGATTTATCTTTCTGTTCTTCATACGTCGATCAAACTTGCTGCCTATTAAAATTTCTTCTTAAATATCTGACATCAACCATAAATAAACCATTTCAACTCATTAACCGCCTACGTAGTTAACAACAAGCTGCATTGGAATCTAAATTAAAAATCAATTAAATTGAGTTCTGAAACGGGAGGCGAGGAGCTTGAGTGTAAATAAAATTTATATAATTAATGATAAATATAAAGTCTTGATTTATTCATAGCTCAACTATTTTAGTTTTGATTGGACGACTTACTGATCTCCTTTTTAAGGCTGTAGTCTGCGTAACACTAACAAGGTTTCTCAAAATAATTTTGTGCAAGGCAAGTGTTGCGTGTGAGCAGAAACGTTTCAGCCAATTAATGATCGGGCTTTTGCAACATGAAATTCACTTAATGCCTATGTTCGAAGTAGTTTGCTCAAAATTTTGTAGTGGGCGACCTCCACTCACTACGTTCTGTCTTTTATAATATTTACTCCTGAGATAGGTGACTCATTTGTTATTTACCGTGATGATACTTATGCACAAGTAAGACTTTGACTAAAAGCGTACAATCCTTTTGGAAGTTCTACTAGATGCAGACCAAAACAACATCTAGAATGGCTAACAAAGCTATATAAGCTAAGTCAGAAATGGTAATAGCACAGAATGTGTGACTTGACTAGAGTTTATTGCGAATATGAACCATCAGCATGATTAGGACATCAAGAAAATAAATGGAATGAATGGTTGTATAACTTAGATCTCTGCACTCAAGTCCGCACCTTCCAGAATGTTTCGGCTCACATGAGGTTCCTCTGACCAGTATGGACAGAATTGCTCAATTCACAATTGAACTCAAAATAGAATCGAATCATAGTACTTTGGGAAGCGGAAATATATCAACTTAAATCATGGGAACTAAACAAAAAACCAATAGGACAATGCAGTACAATAAAGATGGACGAAACTGCAAATTTTAAACAGGGCCTTTTTAGCGCAGACTTTACTTAAAATGTGTTAAGTATTACTCGACGATCAATATTAATCTATAGTAATATTATTAGCTTAATAGTGGGCATTGTAAGGGGAAACGATAGAGGCATTAAGGTGAGTAAATGTGGTAAATTTCAGTTAAGTAAATTCTCAAGTCACCTAAGCAGTTATTACAATATCATAATCATAGTTTGAAATGCGAATTCCACACCACGTTATCTCGACTGTGCTTATATTAACAATATTTACATCTCGTTGGCCTGGTAACCTTGGCATATTTGTCTTTCCAAGTTGTTTAAAACAGATTTAAAATAACCAAACTAATGATTGAATTTCAATAATATGTTTTAAGATCTTTGCATCAAATGGCAGGGTTTATGACAGTGTCATAGACTCTTTAGTTGACTTCGGGTTTCACAGGGGGGGGGGAGGTAAATCAAGATCACAGAAAGTCCGGAGAGACAGAAGAGTGATTCGCGAATGTAAAAGAGACAGGCAGACACAAAGACAGAAAAAAAGTAAGATGAGTATTGTGAAAGTGGTCGAATATGACATACAGTGGGGTCATGATAATTTGAAGTCAGACGAAAATTGTCGGTTTATCCACTTTTTTGCCGTATGAGTAAATGTTGCCCAGGGTGCACCACGTGGAGGTCTGTCTTTCGAGCATCCATGCATTTAAAAAATATTGATAATGTGCTATTGTTAGCTAATACACTTTGATAGTTTCGATTGTCGGTAAGTTTTCCCGGCCATACCTAGGTTCACTTTGTCGTTATTTTATCGACACCCTTTGTATAATTAGCAGACGCCAAGTACTACCACCACCACAGTTTATCGAGTGGCTTTTAATAAAATTATTCTGTAGCCGTATTAATGTAACCTGTCAATCTATCTGGTCCCTTCTGTGTGATTTATGAGCGGGTTCTTTTACACAGACGAACAACTTTAATTGAATAGTACTATCTATAGGGCTAAAATTTCACCCTTGAATAGATTAAACAAACTTAGTTCAGTTAACTTCAAATGATAGCATCTTTTTGGGGTTAGCAGCATATTGTAACATTATCCTAGGTTTACGAATTAAACTTTTATATCTTAATCCATGGTGTCCTGGTTAGAATAAGTTTCTGAATCCCCAATAATTCTTGATAAGTTGAGTGAATCGAATGAGTGGTTGCGTCATCTGAATGCATTCGTTTCTCCACACCTCCAAGTGCTCGTCCTTGAGTGTGTGGAGTCCATGACCAAGACTGAAGAAAAAAATTTTAATTTGAAAGGCGCGGCTGTTCTGGCGATTATGGAGAGCACAACACCGTCACCACAGATCAAAAAGTATCTCATGTACACTAAGGATAGCTCGAAGGTGCGACGTGCTACTTCGCGTTGGGAATAAGTGCGGCGGGAGCGCGGAGACCGCCCAATTAACCGGAAAATCAATAGTAGATTCTTGATTTAGTACACACCCCTCCCCCTATTGGATTATGTTCAATGAACGAGCTTGCTGTACGTAACATGTATCCAAACTAAACGTGTTTCACATCATACGCCCGTTTTTCCTATAACCAATCCTGTGAGCCTTCCCAAACTAGGAGGTTGCCACGGTGATTTCGTGCATAAGTCAAAGCTGGCTGATGTTGCAATCTGTTGCACGATCAGGTAGAAGCAAGAAGGTCGAGTGTACAGAGTCACCTTGTTTCATTGTCAGCAATTTCATACATGGGGGAATTTGTCAAAGAAGAATGTTAGGGTTCAGTTGAGGCATATTTGTTTAGGATCCGCGACAAATACTAGCATGATCTGAAAATTTTCACTTCATGATCTAACTAAGAAGATTTCTTATACAAACTCATTTGCATTAAAGTAAGTCAAAAGACGAAGAATAATCACGTCTTTAAAAAAATATTCATAAAATGTGTCTTCTCACCATTAATATATCTTAAGAAATTTGAATGACAATCATTCAAATAAAGAAAAAATGAGAATTCGAGAATGAATTCAAAATTCAAGTACACTCGAGAATTATTAATGTTTTCCGGTTACCATAGATTTCCCTTAACATGATTGGTTTGAGTGCAGGGGTGGAGTTAATTAAAAACGATTTTTCAACTGCGTCCATTCCAGTTTCTCAAGGATGTTAAACATATGAATACTGACTCGATCTCAACAACATCTAAAGCAAATCCCTTAAAATGAAATTGGTTCCCTAAATAGTCAAGCTGATCCAGCAATAGCGAGAAAACTGAGAGTATGCGGAGAATAGCGCTTATTCCAGTCGTGGTTACTGCACTCAACTTGGTCATTGGAATAAAATTTTGCCCACGTAGACCCAGCAGCGCTAATTTATTGATGGCTGGATAGTTGGCTACTTAGTCTGGTAAAATGCAAAGACAATAGATATGATATGCTGTCTATTGTTATGGGTTCAACGATTATTGGCTCCTGCTTTCCCGGGAAGCCTTTGCAATCACATCTTAGCTTGCTCGTTAAGTGGTCAGCAGCTCAGTTCACTTTTCAGAATATTGTTGGGTTGGCCTTGGAAGAGTGGAAAATTCCTCTAATCCAACGATCTTATAGGCCAACAGGAAGAAATATCCCCTTCAGGATTATTAGAAAGACATGAGATGGGACGGGCAAGTTGTGTATTCGAAAGAGTTGCGATCCTGCCATGTGACGAAAATTAGAACAAAATTCACCATCGTTTATATGAGTACCAATCATGACCCATAGGGAGCAGAATTAAGCAAAAAAGTCTGGTGAAAACTTCTAGAGTAAAACGAGATTAAATTCAGGGACCATTGAGGCAATTTGAAATTTTCGTGCAGGTTTATTCAGCAGCTCTTCGATTTTTTACATTTTTTGTCCATTTAGTTATTAGTCAAAATATCCAGCAAATGGAAAAATCAATCACCAGAGCTTTTACAAAACTGACTTCACAGTCCAATACAACCGCTTCTCCGCAAATTGTTTCCCCAGTTAAAGTAGAAATAGCTGCCTCACATGAGGAAAACCATGGATATAGTATAGAAAATAAAAACGTGACAACTTCCTCCGAAAATACAGCTTGTCCCGATCCCATCGTCGCCCAAGATGAATCTTCATCAGATTCGTTTGAGGAATATTTACATAGCCTTGTTCAGGAAAGCGGAAACCAGCAATACGAAAATGATGCAGTCAATGGTAACGCCGTCGAGGAAATAACTATTACACCTCAGGGAGGAAGTACCGAGAAGAATGAAAATGTTGCTCCTGATAGTAACCCTTCTATGTACTTTGGTCAAGGAAAGTTGTCAGCCCCTTATTACGGTATTGAGGAGATGGATGCAGTGTTTATTGATGACTTTTGGTGCGGATGCGTGTCGCTGCCCATTAGTTTAGACATTTTTGATGAGGAACTGGTGGGGTATAAATGCCTCTTAGATATTCCACCCAAGTTGCTTGGCCCCATTTTTGGAAAGAATTCCAAAAATCTCGATTATTTGAATAACAATTATGGCGCAAAATTAGTTTTGCGGACGGCTAATCAAAAAGCCTCTTGTGTACGCCTTGAAGCGCATTGTCCAATTGAATCCAAGGTGGGTTTTATTAAGTGGATGTTACAACAAATTGCACCTAAACATTACTTTAACGAAATCGGCAACCCTGAACAACTTCTGGTGCGTGATTTTACTGTCTTATTGTTCATTTATCATGCTCGAAGTTGCTAACTCACGACATTTCCTTGACTTCAGAGGACTCCTCGGTTAGGTAAAGTAGAACGCGTACATATTCTCTCTTCATATTCTCGGAGGCACTTTTTTGTTACTATCTGCGACAAAAAATACAGCATGTTTGAGAAAATGGCAAGGGAGATGACTGCGGACTATTCAAGCACCACTTCGTGGAACCCATTTCTCCCAGAACCAATTTATGCGGGCACAGTATCAGTTCTAAGAATAGGCACAAACTACTATCGAGCCTTGGTAGTTAATGTTGTGGATGAAGTGAGCAGATCTATAATCTGTTTCCTCCTCGATTATGGCAAATTTGCTATTGTTAATGCAAGATGTTTGCATAAAATCAAGTAAGTAGTTGCCTACTTTCAACCCCCTTCAACTTGCTTGTCGGCGGTTGATTTATATTCTGGCTCTTTTCACAATTTAGAAAGCGGTATATGAAGACTCCATTCCAGGCTGTTTCGGTAATGTGGGCCCACGCACAAAATAGGTCTCTCGATGTATCTGATTCCAAATTTTTTGATAAATACTTCAAGAGTTCCCAACTTTATATCTATCCAGTCAGAAATGAAACTTGTACACGTGCGAAAGTGATGTTTTTAAAAAAACGTGGTAAAGGGTATGAAGATGTTCTCGAAAAAGCCGTTGAGGATCGCGAGTGCAGTTTTTCCGAAGAGATAATTAAACTTGACGACCAGTTTGTGCTTAACGGAACCAACACAGCTTACTATTTCTGGTCAAATGCGCATTTGTACGTGAGCTTAGTGCGCTTCCAAAAGACCAACGGTGAAGTTGTTAAGGCATTGGATGATCCCTATCCTAGACCTTCTCAGGAGCACCGGCCGAACAAAGGAGGCAGGAATCGAGGAATGTTGCAACACAGAACTCCTAACAGCGGTGCAGAGACAACAAAGAATAATCGCGGAAACAATTTCCAACGCCTAATAGAAGAGAGAAAACGGGGTCCAAAATCTTCCCAATGTCGGTTTTCATCCACGGCGAAACGTTAGGCGTTGGCGGCCCAAATACAGAGGCCATTAAAAGTCAGTGACTTCATTTGCATAATTTATGTCACACATAATGTATTGTCATCTCAAACGTTTCTTTTTAAAGCCCTCTTTTATCAAAATTCTTAAATGCATTATGTAAACTTGTGAAGTAATGTACGTTATATAATAGAAAGTACTTAAAAGGAAGTATTATGTTATATTTATTTACATCGAATGGAAGGTGTTTTGGTAGTTATCAGTAGCCCTTTAGTTGACTTCGCGGGCTTCACAGAGAGGAGGAGGAACATCAAAGTAGCAGAAAGTCGAGGGATGGAGAACAGAAAAGTGATCTACAGATATAAAAGAGACAGACACAAAGGCAGAGAAAAGGCAGGATGAGTACTGTGGAAGTGGTAGAATAGGGCAAACAGTTGGGCCATTGTAGTTTGAAATCAGAAGTCAACTGCCAGTAAATAGACTTTGCTTGCCGTATGAGAATACGTTTCCCAAGGTGCACCACGTGGAGGTAAGTCTGTCGCACACCCCTTATGGTATATACTAAATGATTAATTACGAATGAATAACGGCATTAGTCTTAACTCAGTCTCTTCCAGAATCAAGGCCAGAAAAGATAATAATTTATGACTTTATTAGAGTTTCTATAATTCCGGGAGGTTTTGAAATGTCTTGCAAACATTGTATACAGATGTTCCATTTGACGAACAAGAGGATAAAATCCAGTTAGCTATCTGGAAACTCAAAATTTAAAAGTTGGTCGACCTGAAGAATTCGGAACTCAGATGAATTTGGTTTCTTTTGATTGCCCAAATTTAATCTCTCATAAAACTGAACAAACTTCAGCTTCATGATCCGTCACTTTAAATGTGTTTGAATGTTTCAAATTTTCGCTCCAATGCTCTCACCATAGGACACAAATATAAAGCCTAGATGAGAAAATAGGCATGAAATTCTGGGGGAAATGTGATTTAGTAATTAAAAAGGAGAGGAGAAAGTCGTCAGATGATCAGTTGAATCGTCATAACAGATCGATATAGACATATTTATATGATCAAATGATTGATAGCGATTCTTTCAATTGACCATTGCCCAAGTCTTAGAAATAGTCCATCATTAACAATTCATCGTATTACAATAGCAAAATAATTCGTTAATCAAGCTTTTCATACAACTTTGCATTATATGTTCAGTTTGAATACTCAGTTACTATTCAGAAGGCAGAATTGAGTGTGGATGATCAGGTTGTATTAAATGCATAAATTGTTGTTGGGGGAAAAACGAACGTTTGGGGATAGATATGAAATTGGAAGATTAATGGTTTACGACGTCAAAAGTTTTGAAATCAGTATAAGCCAGTGTGGAGTGGGGAAGAGGAAATATGCATCAATTACAGCACCATACAGGCCCAGAAATCGAATATATATATAGGTATAAAGTTTACTAAGGTGTTTCAAGCTGACAGTTTCCAAAACTGTAATTTAGGCGTTATCTGTCGAGAAATTAAGACAAGTTGGAATCGAAACCTGTTCTGGTATGAACTTGAATGCAAATTGATTAAAATTTGAACTTGAAATGACATTCTGAAATTAATTCCATTTCCTATGTACATGGCAGCTGGTTTACAAGAGGTACCGTGCGAAGGCAAATTACAACTACTACTTATATACTTTTAATATACACAGATCAGTAAGTGTCAACAAAATGCCAGTCTTGCCCACATTGTGTAATAGGATATGCTTATTATGATTATTCAACTACAATTACCCCTCCTAAACTATGTTGATCACCAACAAACAATGAGTTGAGGTGAGGGGGTGGTTACGATAACAATGCTCACTCTGGTTCACTCAAAGAATGGCCAATTAATTGGTTGACCTTGGTGAATGTGAGAGATGGCTTATTGTAAGTGTCTCATGTTAGTCACCTCAAGTTATTGCCTTATTCAAGTTTTTATGGCTTTAAGAAAATTGATTAGCATTTTTAGTGTTCTTTTGTCTTATAAGCTAATTTTAATAACTGCATTATTACTCTAATTATTACATTTTCGAGTTTAATATTTTAAAATTGTCTATAATATATCAAAAACCTATTGATCGACATTAATAACACCTGACATGATGAAATTTTGAATAAATAATAATAAGGTTTCTTTTACATTAAAGGCCTTCTCTCGCACGATTTAGGTAAAACTAAGCCGAAAAGCTAGTAATTATTGGCTTTAAGGTCTTCGTAACCTTGTGCAAGCTGTTATTAACTATTGACACACTTTCATGATTTCCGAAATTTGTAAAATACAGGCATTGATATTGAGATACTACTGACTTTCGAATAAGTAGTGCTAATCGATCTCTCTTTGATAACTGCTTATGGAATTGCGCAAATAGCTCAAAAGCCTTTTAATTTCTTTATTTAACTGTATTTTATTTAGCCAGTACTTAATCTAAGGGCAATTTAGGCAAATCTTTGTAGTAAAGCATCGTTACACCCCTTCCACATCTTTTTTTCAAAATATAGGTTATTCAGAGTTATTTAACTCTAGAAGCAATTTCTTATCTAAAATGCTAATTTATTTAAGCACTAACAGATCTATTAATAAAAACATAATGCACTATCGCTTTTATTAAGAGATCATATTTGAGTTCCCATTTCTATTTGTTACGGAGTTTAGTTAAACTCAGTGTCACGAGGTACGATATTCAACCTTACCAAAACTCGGGTTTGCCCGGAGAAGATTCAACTACAATATCATACATGGCAGAATACGTTTTGACAGGAAGGGGATAAATCAATAGAGGGTGGATGATTTCGTCAGATCAAGAGCTGCCATGATTAAAAACGTAGAATAGTGCTAAGCCTACGGTAAAGCGCTATATAGCCTTCCCTTCTAAAAACGCTTGGCCTACCATTATTTAATTCGTTGCTAAGAGATTACCTCATGGGTTCTTCGATATGAGCACATATTTCTGCAACAGTTTTGGGAGCCGATATGTTGACACGGAATAAGCATAAATATTAGCAAATAAATTGATAACGATCATTCAACTAATCTTTACGACAATTTATTATTAGGTTACTCCTGGAGAAGACTTTTCTACCAATTACCATATATTCTTATTTAGGAAATCTAGAAAATTCTATTTCGTAATCATATGTTATCACCCGTCTTTTTCAATTAAATTATGAAAATGCGTTTACAATAGCTCTTCCATTAATGTTACCCCTTCATTATATTTGACACAAGTTATATTCACCCAAATCATAAGTTTCGTCACTTGGTTACCGCAAGCAAACGAGTAGTAATCAATATTATCTCAGAATCCCAGGAAATTTTAAAATAATCTACTATAAGTAAAATTAAAACATGATTGTTTTTATACGAGCGAATAAGTAATTTAATTATAATTTTTGTGGCATATAATTTCAGTGTAGAGCTCGCACGATCTTATTTTTTTATGTTAATGCTCAAATAGATCTTTATTAGTTTAGATACCTCATAAATCTCTTCTAATTTTGTAAAGCGAAATTGTTATAGTAGTAGGAAAAAAATGAAATTTGAATTTAAATTATGTTTCTTATCCAGTTTGGATCCGGTAAACACACAATGGAATGCAATTACACGATAAGTATAATTATCTATTATTTTAGCACGCTCGAATTTCGTTAGCTTCAGACGAGATCATGGCTGTTGACCCAGATGCTGAACCTGGAAACAGGCAACGCAATGGCCCTTTAGAACCAAATCTAAGTTTTTGAAAAATTGGTAAAACCTTACGCAATGTCTCATAAATCTGTTCAAACTAACTAGTCGCAGAGTGACTCATAAGGGAGATAAAAAGACAGGCCATCTAAATCGCGATCCATCTTAATTTCCATTGTTGCTGACTCGTGAATGGTTGTTTCCTCCAGAAGAATTGTCAAATTACTTGAAGTCAATCTTCCCTGGCGAAGTGTGAAATTAAGAAATTACTCACCATTGATTAAAACTCATGAATTTGACCCATAGAGTGAATTATTACACTTTGAAATGCATAAATATTCCGACCTAACAAATTGAAAGCATCAGAATGCATGAAATGTGAACCTCAACCTATTCTAGCTCTACCGTCAAGTTCGTTATATTCCTCAAATGCCCAAAACATATCAATACAACACGGTTGTTCACCAAATAAATAACCAAGGTAATAAATATTTATTTTTTCCGTCGTAATAATTGGAAATTTTTGTTGTCGTTAACATTACAGGGAAAAAGTATTTTTTTCCTGTTCCATATAGACAAATGGCATACGGAGAAAGGTTGGTTGATAAGACAACACCGAGAAATAATTGACGTAATAATATATAGGATATGCACGAATAAGTAGATTTAAGTAGTCTAAGGTACTTCAATATATGGGCATTCGGGTGGGTGAACCATTCCAAAAATATTCAATTCATAGAGACTGCATATTACGAGGAATAGAATGTAGATTATCATCAGAACGACACCGTAGAGCTTTGTGAGACGCCAACGATTGAGATGTGTTGCTCCAAGGAGAATGATAACCGTGAAAAATAATGTCAGAGCCGCATAGGTGAGACCTTAATCAGTAAAGAAACATCATAATCATTGTCAGGAATCTGAAGATAAATAAATGCAGTAAATAACTTACCTTGAGAGTAAATTTCAACTGGCCCACCGATAACCATAGTGCGTAATAACCAGGGTAGACCCATGCAAACGAGAATGTCAAAGATATTGCTTCCAACAGCGTTTGAAATGGCCATATCCCCCTCACCTGGACGAAAAATAAGCAATAATCAAAAGGGCTCTAGAGGAGGAACGTACCTTCACGAACGACAATGACCGAAGTTATTGCATCTGGAACACTAGATCCTGCAGCAATGAGTGTAAGGCCCATGATCGTATCTGGAATACCCAGCGTGACCCCTAAAAGAGACCAAAGAATGCGATTAGTAAGCGAACGCTTTTGAACGACTTTATACTCTCAATGACAAACAATGGAATTTAAGAAGTGCAGCGTAGCTGATTCGTGTAAACCTATGAGGGCGTATCAAGCCACAATGCTCAATGTAAAGCGGCTTTCATCAACAATCGGTTTGAAATTACCGATATGTTAACTGTCGGCAACTATTTTCCATGTCCAAATTTTATAAAACAGATTCATTAAAAAGGAAGAGCATATCAAACACTTTATACCGAAAGCTTCATTAATCAAACATGGCTACTCATAATGCCATTATCCGGATATGAAGGAATTCGCGGATACTAAAATGGTATATGGAAGTAGTTGTGACAGACAAAAGACACCCTCTTTTCATAATAAACCGTAATTGGATTAACGCTCATAAAAATTCGGAAAAAATTTTGGGTACTCGTACTAGAAATAAACTTGATTGGGCTAGAGAATATCTAGAAGAGCTATTGTAAATACGAAACGTGTCCATACTTCCGGACTTAAAAATTATCGAGTCAAATTATAACAAGTAAATAGGAACTTACTAGCCATTAAACAACATATACTATCTCGTTTTCATGAGAAATTAATTTAGAAGTAAGAATTTGATTAAATTTTAAATCAAGGCAAAATGGTACGTTTTTTCGCGTTTAATTATTCATTCGAAGTCATTATGATTTCCCTCGAGAATACAAGAATCTATATTTTCTCTTGCCTAAGAAAGAAAAAAATGATTGAACAAATTAAAATGGGATTAAACTGAGTAACTTTGCTGTGATGAAGAAAAGTTGTACTTTCATTATTTTGGCACGATTTATGAGCCCATTTGCAGTTGATCTTATTATTCTCTAGCCCCTTACTTGGGAATAAGTAATAACACCAACATATGAAAATCTGGTAGGAAATCTAAAGGATATTGAGAACGAAGATCAAAGAGATTGATCTAATTTCATTCTTGGACTTGGAGTGTACAACAACTTCTAAATGAGCAGTTTGCACTCCAAAATTCATCTTTCACCAATGATCTCCTGCTTTATGATAACTATTTGTCCGTAATGTTCAGTGCTCACTACTTACTCAAGATGGGTTGATCTTGCCATCATATTTCACTTTTGTTTCGAATATCTAGGGCAAAATTATCTTGTAGCTCATCAGCTTGCGATCTTAGTGAGGTTGAGAGGAGCTAGCTAACATATCTCCTTAAACTACGTTCGCTCAAGGTGAATGCATGATGATTGAGAGAGCACATATATTTGAGTTGAGGGGTGTGTGATAGACTTACCTCCACGTGGTGCACCCTGGGCAACGTATACCCATACGGCAAAATGTCTAATAACTGGCCGTTGACTTCTGATTTCAAAACACCATCACCTCACTCAGTTGACTTCTGACTTCAAACTATCATCACCCCACTGCACTGGTCCATATTCGACTACTTCCACAGTACTCACCTCATCTTTTTCACTCTACCTTTGTGTCTCCATATTCGACTACTTCCACAGTACTCACCTCACCTTTTTATATTCGACTACTTCACAGTACTCACCTCACCTTTTTCCTCCACAGTACTCACCTCACCTTTTTCACTCTACCTTTGTGGCTGTCTCTTTTACATCTTTGAAATACTCTTCTGTTCCCCCACTCCCCCTCTCGACTTTCTTTCTTCTCTGTGAAGCCTGAAGTCAACTAAAGGGCAAATGATAACCATTCTGTGAAGCCTGAAGTCAACTAAAGGGCTTATGATAACTATCAAAATGCCTGGCATTTGATATAAATAAATAATATATTTGAGTTGCCAGTCTAATTCCATGGTACTATTTGCAATTTAAATATTAATTGCCCATTTTATTGAGCTAATTTAGAGTTCATTTCAGTTTAAGTTTACATGCTTTTTATTACCATTGCTAAATGACCTATTAATAGGACATCAAAAAATGTTTTAGAAATGAATTGTATTTCCTGCTGCATGAATTGAGCTTGAAAGTGCTTCAATAAATACAATGATAGCATTTTCTTTAATTATAAAAAATTATTGGCTCTAATCATAATCTTGTATCGATTTAGTTTTAAAATTTTAATGATGATTCGCAATTTTTAAAATGAAGTTGTGCTGTGAATGCTCATAGTCGCAAGTTGGTTAAGGGCCTCTATAGTGATTGTCACATCGACCATGCTCAGACAGTTAACTTTTGAATACTCTCATAATATTTGGTCCTTTCCTCGTCCGAAATCTAATTAGACTTCCCATCTGCCAATGGTAAAGTCCTAATTCTAAAAAAGGAACATCAATTATCTAGGAATCATTGACTTAAACATCAAACTGGCCAAATGGCTGAAACATATTTCGTCATTTTGGAACTTTCTGTTAAGATAAAACCACAAGAAATTATGTATTTCACACACTGACCCATTTAAAATATTCCATTTTAGTAAAGAGACTGCTTACTTATTTGGTCAAATTCAAATTCAATCAAAAGTGATCACAGTTTAATTACCAATTTGGAGTTTATTAGATGAACTTTTTCATCGTTTGACCGATTTTGTGTGAGACGATTTGTCTTGTCACATGAATAAGCTTAGAACTGTGATGGATTCATGAAAAGTTTCCACGATTAACAGAGCACAATATGTTATAAAGAAAATTTTAAATGTGAAAACAAATCCATGTAAAAATTAAATATAAAAAAATAGGCCAATTAACAAAAAAACCCTAAACTAAAACAAAACACAATTAACAACTTACATCGTTATGTATTAATTAAAATTCGAAAATATATTTAACCTACAGAAGATAATATGGCAGTTTAGTTAAAGTATTTCTTAGTCATTTAAGGCAAAGCGTGAATGGGTCACGACCTCTAATTAGCATAAGAGCAAGGAGTAGCCACGTCTTCATCTAATTAGCATTGAGACAGTTGCATTTACAGAAGCATAGAAGGCAAGATTTAAGAATAACTTATAACTAATCGAGTTTTGTGTTATTCACTAAAATAACACTGAAAAATAACGAAGTAAGCAAAGCAATTTTGGCCAAATTTGAATCTCATCGTCCCTAACTTGATCATTTGGCCCTTACTAATACTTTGATACTTTTCTCACGATTGAGAATTTTAAATTATTTTGCCTTTCATGAATGATACTAAGCCAATGTAAAATTATCCCTCAATGTCTTTTTTGCATACTTTGTACTGTATCAGTAAATCGATATTTATATTTCAATTCCGAATAAACAGCTAGTTGTACCCTTTCGGTTGAACAATTGACACATTTTAAGTACAATTCTTTAGTTGTTTTAGAAGGCAAGGTAGATCCATTCTCATATCATATGTATTTTGATTAAAATATACAAAAGCGCTCCATTTCCGTGCTGATATAAACTTGGAATAGTATTGCATCAATACGCATGTAATCATTATGAGAGTAAATATTTTGAGCCGACTTCCAAAGGCTAAAGGCATCTTGCTTCTGTACTATTTTCATCGCAAAGGTAAATAGATATTGCAATTATGGGGTACGCAAATCAGGCAATCTCATGCGAATGGAAACATTCAGGAGGGTGCGTCGTGCGTGCTGGGAACTCATCGTGAAATCAGAAAATAAAAAAAATAATAAGAAGTACCGTATAAGATTTCAAATGCTGCATTAAGAATGAACAAAGCAGAAGTCTGCTCTCTGTCATGTCGGCTGAAATGTTATGTTTAAGAATAATACCGGGGTTTTCCGAAAGTTATTCCATCCGAATACATTTATATATTATAAGGCGAAATATTTATTTCAAATGGCAGGCGTTTTGATAGTTATCATTAGACATTTAGCTGCCTTCAGGCTCCACAGAGAGGAGGAGGAACATCAAATTGACAAAAAATCGAGAGGGGGGACAGAATAATGACTCACAGATGTGACAGAGACAGACAAAAGAGCAGAGAAAAGGTAAGATGAGTACTGTGGAAGGGGTCGAATATGACGTACAGTGGGGTCATGGTAGTTTGAAGTCAGAAGTCAACTGCCGTTTAATAGACTTTTTTTGCCGTATGAGTATACGTTGCCCAGGGTGCACCACGTGGAGGTAAGTCTATCGCACACCCCATAAGGCGAAATATTTAACTTCTGTATTATCACCGTAGGCGGATTTCGGAAACCCCCGGTAATATAAGTCTAATATTCAAAATGCAAAAGATTAATGAACAAAATAAACCAGTAATGAATGCCACAAGGTTAATCGATACCAGCCTCCACGTGGTACACCCTGGGCAACGTAAACTCATACGGCGAAAAAGCCTATAAACCGGCAGTTGACTTCTGACTTCAAACTACTATCACCCCACTGTATGCCATATTCGACCACTTCCACAGTACTCATCTTACCTTTTCTCTGCTCTTTTGTCTGTCTCTTTTACAACTGTAAACCACTCTTCTGTTACTCACCCATCGACTTTCTGTTACTTTGACGTTCCTTCCCTCTGTGAATCCCGAAGTCTGCTAAAGGGCTAATGATAAGTATCAAAACGCCTGCCATTTGAAATAAATATATAAATAAATATATTTTCTTCACCTCTACTTATCTCAAAAGTTAAGTAAAATTAGTTTACAAGACCAATTAGGAAAGCAGTTTCTAACCTTCTTCGTCGTTAGGGTAATAATAATGTTGAACCAAGGTACTCCCAACTTCTTATTTAACGAGAACACAAGCAACGCGCTCAATCATTCTATTCACTGGGCCTTTGAACCATAACTTTCGATTTTGCCAATGTGCATGCTGGTGCAAATCTGGGGCAAGACCGATTTTTCTGACATAGATTGTATGCTAGACTTCAAGATTAATTGATGCGAAGTAGTTTAATTGCTGATGTTTTTGAGACAAAAACGAAAAGTCTAGACATTCACAGATCGCATTAAAAAACCTAATTCAATAAGTTTAGTCAAAATTTAGCATAGTGTGAAAAGTTACGCTTTTTTTCTAACTTGGTTTTGGTTTCGCTTGCCTTTCGGTACCCTCTGTTTGGTCTCCATTTTGAAATTGCAAGGACGATCTTTAATTTGAAATTATCTTTGGAAAGCTTTTATCCAGTTACAAGAAGAACGAAAAGAAATGGCTATCGTTAACTACAACCATCACTGAAGAGTTGAGGAGCAATCTAAAAGAGACTAAAATTCGCCCGTATCAAAGCAGAAGATAACAATTAGTACTTATGGTCAATCACTGAAATACGTTAATTGGAAAGCCCAATAATTGACAAAGATGTGCCAGACGAGGTTTCATAGAGTTATATATATTCTTTGACCTTTGGAGCTGAATTGTTAAGTACCCACTAGATGGGCTGAGCACGTCTCAAAATTCAAGTATTATAATTTGTTCCCTAGGTTACGGAAAATTCTTATTCACCGATATTTTAATCGAGAAGCATAATGTCAATTCATAACGTTGGCTGAGTTGAGAAAGAAAAAAAACGATTTTACGAAGTAAGCAGCAGATAATTCTTGTTGCAAGGTAAAGATTGGATTGGTTGAAATTTTAAGTCAGCAGAGTTTAATTGAATTTAATTTTTCGTTCAGATTTAATCCACTGAACCTTTACAAAGTCTGTCATTTACACTGTATCTTAAAATTTGTTTTCTTCAATGCATTGAGGTGATTAATTATAGAATCATCAGTCAGCTAAAACTTTCATTTTGCAGTACCACGAAATAGTCTTTATCGCAGAATAGTGAATAAGTAAATTATGGCATTTTTCCTGTATATATATATATATATAGAATTGCGTTAAATATTTAAAACTTACCAATTACAGTAATCATCCACATCATGAATATAGTGAAGACACCAATCCAGAAGCAGGATACAATAAAGGCTATCCAATGACCTTGCCAACGACGCCAACGCGGATGGCGACAATCGGGAGTGGTGAGGCACAGGCACAAACGAATTGGCCAGACAAGGCAAAAGTAAATCCATCGCACCGTCGAGGTGCCTTTTGGAGGGAAAGCCAGAGGAGCGAGGCATATTTGAGCGAGTGACTGCGTATCGACACTTTTAGACTCCACATCCGGAGTGACTGCCGTTTCTGGGTCGTTTTGAAGTGAACCACCTGAGTTAAAATTATTAAATAAATACTAAAAAAAAATAAAAATAACGAAAGCTTAAAAATGAAGTTGATGGTTTACAAGTGCGAGTAGTCGAGTTATGAAATAGAAATTCGGATCATCATTTATCCAAATATTACGAAGTGAAGAGGCTTATTAAAACCCACTGACCAAACAAATAAACCCTTAAATAAAATTGGAATATCTGAACATGATCAAATTACACGATTAAATAATAATGAAATAAAGCTTACCCCAGAAACTAGCACCCAATGAGATTATTTTAAAATATCCCCGAAAACTAAGTTTCAACTGAGGTTAACTCTCGAAATATCTCGCATCTAAACGACAACTCAAGATTTCAGAGTTCATAGCCTAACAAAAGAAAATTCCGCATTGCTGCAACCCTCCAATCAACTGAGTTTTATTCAAATTCAATCGCAAATACTAATCGGCTAACCGCTTAATTTTGACACTTCTAATGCCCAAAAGAAATATAAGAGACATCAAGGTGCTGAAACAAACCATAAATTCCACTCTATTGCACTTTTACACAATCATTAACCAGTCATAACAAAACTACTTACCCGTCGGAATCTCATGTTGATTCAGATGAATTTCAGCCTCGGATTCGTTAGCATCCAGTCTGGAGTAATTTGTCATCGCTGCATCAGACGAACGTAATCCAACGGCCTCATCATGTTTTCCACCGAACTTTCCAGAACTTTGAGCAGCGATCTCTGCACTGCTCACTTCGTCATGTAGAACTCTTGGACAAACATTTCGATGGGAGAGGCACCAAGCGTTCAACGAGGTGTCAAGACGTCGGTTGAAATGCATTAGGCCAATGTAGATACAATAAAAGATCAACAGAACCAGAGCTTCATACCTGAACAAAAATAACTTTTCATTAGTATCAGGCTACTTTGTGGTAATTTAAACTGAGATTGATCACGCTATTTGATAAATTCTTCAACTGCAAACCATAGTTCAGTATGCGGTGTCAACACGACGACTGCCTTAAAATATTATTAAATTTGCTATTAAAAACTTTTGAAGTGAAAAAATTTGCATTTACGTTTTTGTTTATTTAAATGAGACAAACCAGTAAACTTTCTCATCCACGATCGTAAGGGCGAGGAGAATGATTGAGATCAAGTAAAAGACGGAATCACGGAACAACGGCCACCAGTTAAGATATATTATCTGAAAATAAGTACGTATTGAACAAAAATAATTAATATAATAATTTTCAAAATGGTAGTAAAATAGGAAGGAAACATATAAAGAGTTAGCTAACTTTGAATTGTCAATTGGATCGTTCTACACTCCTCTTATAACCGACTGCGCTGATGTGAGTGATAACATCAACTCATAAATACTGCCTAATGAGTGGACTCACAAATCCTGTAATATCATCGGATAAAACAGTCCTACCGTGAAATGTAAGTAGAAGAATTTTATATAACACTATTCCAGTAATATATTAGGGGAACGAGATTCGGATCAATGGAGTATTAGATGAGGGCGTTATTCAATTGTCAATCGACTAACGTTTGTAGGCAATGAAAAATCTAGAATCTCTTGTGACTCCTCTATAAAAGACCTTTAAAGCTCAATTCAACTGAATAATCTCAAGTTTATTAGTTTTGCAAGTATGATGTTTGCTAGATCGCAAATCGATTCCTGAATTAAAGGGACGGAAATTCTCAAATTTAACCCCCCCCCCATAGAACTTTAAGTCAGTAAGTTATTGCAGACTTAAGCACATTTAATCCCAAGTTTATTACTATTGATTTCATATTATGCAAAACCGCTGCAATATGGTGACACCTTCCCACATTCGTAAGTGCTGCAATCTTACCATATCGTTCTACCCTACCAGCACATGTATCTAATAAGATTTCTTTTAGGTTTGAAATCCATTCTCTGGGCTTCTGCACTTGAGGTTATATTAATAAATTTTTCTTGTGCCTAGTACCGTTATTGGGTGCTTCTGTGTTTTTTAGTTCTCTTGGCATGCGGCCCATTGATTCAGTACTGTGATAATTCTAAAATCATCAAGTATACCTCAAAATTCTACATCTCCCCTTCAGCGAATCTCCTTCTCTTCAAGTGCCCAGATGACAAAGGATTTTAACTTTATTGGTTGAACTTGTTGGAAAAGACAACTTCTATTTCACAGACTTCAAATTAAATTCAACACTCTTCCCAAACCCATTGAGGGAAAAACACTGACAATACTAGACTTAAGTGGGGAGAGTGTTTACAACGGTCAAGCCGATAAGATGCTTTTCTCCTACCATTTCTGTTAGTAACCATAGTAAACCGATTTGGCTGGTCGATTTTATCAATTGGTTAACACTGATGTTCAATCACTAATATGGTGTGTGTGTGTATGATGGTAACAGTGTTAACTTTAACCTAAGCAACATTCTACGGCCATAGAGACAACTGTTTTAGGAAAAGATAACACGGACTTGACTGACAGAACGATTTTCTAAAAGAACCATTTCAAGAAGTTTGGTGTCCCTTTTAAATAATTACAGAATTTTCCTATTAATAACAGAAAATTCCCGTACTTGTAATAGAATTGCAGGCTCTAAATGTTCGTCAATGTTATTTTAACCATTAATAGAAGAAAGGATTTTAAAAAGAAAGCTTAGACATCAGCCTAAATAATTGTCTAAATATCTTTGGGAATATCAAATTCTACTTCATACGTTGCCTGCCCATGGAAATTATGTCTTTGGTTAGGCAAGAATTTTTTATATTGTAATATTGCCTTTTATCATTTATTTATTTAATACTTTGAAAGAAATTCTAAAGAGAAATCTAAAAAAATATTTGTTCGGGAATCGTGCGGAAATCACAAAGAACTCCAAAAATTGGCTGCCAAAATTGTTATAAAATGGAAAATTATTTAAAAAGAAAATAATTTGAAAAAATACATAAAATGAGGAAATTTGAAAAAAAAAATTAGAAGAAAGATTATTGCATGTTAAAAAACTCACTTCTTTGCTAAATAGAGCACAAACGCTAGTTACAAACATGACGTTGAAATCAGCAGATCCCACCACTGCTCCCAAACCAATATCATCCTAAAAAATAAATAATAAATAAAATAAATAAATAGACATAAAATTCTCGGTTTTTCTTTTCTTGCTTTTGAATATTAAGAAAATGATGGGGGCAATCTTGCAATTGTTTTCTACAATTTTAACCCAAATTAGTGGAATACTTTAGTATAGACTGTTTAAAATACCGACTCATGCACACATGAGTTCCAATTAAAATTGGACCTTAAGCAAACCCATTATCTGAATCAAAAGTCAATTTAATTGCGTTTTAATCAACGAGTGGTATTCGCATTTCCACAATGAAAGCATGCGCCAATGTGTACCCTTCAAGCTATTTTAATGAATAGAAAATGCGAAAAACCCACACCAGCTGTTGCAGAATTTGTCGGTAATTGAAGCTTTGTTATGGGTAAAATTGCTTTAAGGAACGCTTTAGGAGTATCTAAATCATTTTTCAATTTTTTTATGTAATTTAATTTGCGTTGATAACAGAGCGAATTCATACCTGAGCGAGGCAAGCACTTACATTGATCCACTTACCATTCGAGGTAAATTTGTTGTGTCTATGACAGCATTCAACATTTAAGTGATTTACCGGTTTTCCATATCACTTATTACTTACACCTTGTGCTGCACTATGAAAATCAGTCCAAATTTAAGATAAAAGCTTACAGGACAACTGCTTTAGACTAAATTATAAAGCCGCCTCTGTCTACTCTGTACTGACCTATGGTAATGAAATTCGTAAAGCTAGACCAAGTTATTTTCTCCTAAGCGAGAGCCCCTTTTACTATAACGAAATTTGATAGGAAAAATATCTCCCTGGAAGGTGATAAGTACGCTTATATGGTGAAATATTTTTGCTAATATACATAATATAAAGTATATATGTATATAATATTCATGATACACGGTGCCTAATGACCTAATCATTCCAGTAGTACTCAGTTCTTCTAATTTGCAGTTGGCGCATCGCAGTTGATAGAAACATGACAATCAGAAGGAGCTCTTAGGCATAGCGCCCAAGTACTAACAGTTACCTTTAATCCAATTAAGGGCGTCTTTGTTAAATTCTTGCAGCTCAAAGCATATCGAAACATTCGATCCCAATCCGTATTGTATTGGTTTATTAAAAAAGAACAGATTCTATTCATAGTTGTCAATCATTTCAGTCTACTTATAGTATTGAATTCAAATGAGCCGATAAAAATAAATGTCATCAAAGGGATTATCAACATTAGGAGTGCATTCAGAACGATTTTCGCCGATCCATTATTTTGCATTTCAAGTTAACTACAATGGAAGCAGCACATTCTATACTTCCTCCCCCCCCTCAATTTTATTTCCACACCACATGCCGAATAAAGTTGCTCAACGAATTTGTTGTCACTTCTGCAATTCGAGTAAAAAGGACTTTGAATCGCTGTGGCTTCTTTTTATCATTTAAATTATGCACACAAGGTTTGACAGTTCAAAAGTGCACAATGCGAAAAGAAAATCTCTCGCGACTAAAATAAATTATTTTGAAAGATAAGCGCTTTCTATTTACTTCAACAAATCGGAAGAACAATTTATTGTTCAATAAGGAATAATTTGTAATCACACTAGATCTTTGGATTCAGTAACTAATATCAATAAATGACTCAAGAGTTTTGTGAGCGAAAGTGAACAAACCACGATGAGGATTGAGGAGATGAGGGGAGATATGAGAACCAGGAGGGCGGGGTGTGTGAGTGAAACCTAGAGCAAGACGGTAAATGACAAGCGTGTGTCTGTGTGTGTTTGTGTATAGAGCTTCATTTGGTTGCATAAGCAGATGTATTGGCTTCGGATCTTGCTGGGCCCCAAAATGTCTAACTCGAGCAAACTTTGTTAGCCGTCAATTATCAGCAATGAGGTGAAAAGTCAGAAAACATTGGATCACCACACCTCTCAAGTACAAGAAATGCGTTCCTTCGAACACGTATCAGAAATTGCCGGCTTCATAAATGTCTGCTTAGTACCCAATGATGAAAATGTGTTGAACATAAAGCGAAGTGCATACACCGCAATGATTGCGGTCAAACTTTTCAAAACTGTGTAATTGCAAAACGGCGGAACGGAAAAGCGCACAAGGTCATGTTGCAACATGAATAGTGATTAACGAATTGATAGTTAAGTAGTTAATAGAAGACTACAGTGCCAAGTCGAATGGAGCAATAAGTGTGTGCTGCATAACAGCGATTAGAAAGCGAAAGATTGGCGGGGGAATTAGGGGATTGAAAGAGGGAAAGAATGAGTGAGAGGAGGAAAGACCTCTCTCCTGAGTAGATAGGCGTCAAATGCGAGCGTATTTGCATGACAAGCTTTTGCGTAATTTCTTAGGGAAGGTGTATTATAGAAATCCAAGGAATGATTCCGAATATCGCAGATCGGAGCAAGAATGTACACACTCCAATTAATAAGCAGTTGTTATTTAAGAAAATAATACCGAATCGACATGTGCCATACTTAATTGAAAAGTATTAAGAAAAAACCTATTTTTAAAGATTTCTCGAAGGGGAAAACACCGTCTGTAAGTCTGCAGTGAAGAACAATGCTCTTTAGCATTAATCGCTTTCATTGCTGCAGATACTCCGAAGATTTTCGTGGTTCAATATGTTGAAATATCATTAAATTATTTAACGTTCATTTTAGAATTTAATTGAGTAAACTTATTTGACCTTGATTATGTTAAAATCATGTAAACTTGTATAATTCCGCTATACTGGCAAATTTATATATGAAAATTAAGGAAATGATATGCCCATAAAGCTAAACTAATTTACCTATCAACGCAAGTTGGAATTGGCGAAATTCGAAATTTTAATTTGAGTTAGTTGACTATCTAATAGGTGAAATAATTTCTACCTTAAACTAAAATAAAATCCAATTATTCCAATTATTCGCGTTTCCTTCATTTTTCTCCTTCTGCAAGTGATTTTCTCCAAGCAACCAATCGCGAATGATCGCTCGAAATAACGGTAATTGTAAAATTTTTTGCCTTTCTGAGAATCATGGTGCAATTTCAACGAAATCGCTTCATAAAACTGACAGCTGGGTGATCTGGAAGGGATTTACCTTGACTCACTGGTTAGATATAATGTTTGCCAATACACTGACGAGAATAGTATGGAAATTCGAGACAACTTGTTGGATATGGCTTATTCACCCTCTGACAACGCATAAACTTTATTTCACGAGTCGTGTTTGTTTGTGTCCTATTCCATACTGAAGGATTGTATACAACTCCATATTTTGAACTCAACTGCACGCCGTTGAAAACAACATATTTTCGGAATAGTTAGCCCGTGTCATAAAAAGAAATCATTCAAAGGAGAAAATAGTGAGGAACTTCTGACAATGTTGTGGGGTGTACAATTTACCGAGTGTTGACTAGCACTACTCCTATAAAGTTTTAAGACATCTATTAAGACATCATGCAGGTCGATTAAAATCATATTTATAAAATAGTGAATTTGGTGCGTTTTTTGTCAGAATCATTTAAAAATGGGTTATTCCTGGCTATAAAGAATGATCATTTGTCGATATTTCTCGACCAGCCAGCCAGATTAACCAAATTTGGATCAGTCTGAAAATGTTCTTACTCAAAGGTCAGATATAGAAATAAAAGTCCTGCGATTTCCGTGCGTTATTTTGAGGATGGAGATAAGAGGAGTGAAAGAGTTCTTTTACGAAGTTAACTTGTGTGTTTCTCATTAAACTTGACCTCTCTCTGTTTCATTACCTCACTGAGCTGCTTTAGGAAACCTGGGTTTAAAAGCTTTTGCGTGACTGAAATATGCATACTTCAATCAGGTTGTCAGGCGTATTAGCCAACTAATGCGATGAAGGATCAACAGCAATTTAAGAAAGGTAGTCAAAAGTTATTTCCATTCTTCTACATAATCTAGCCATTTCTATGATTAGTATTTGTATAGCCCAGTATTTTAGACAAAATGCGACAACTTTCCAACATATTAATTCGAACTATCAATACGAGCAAAATTTATTCATTCTCACTATACTATTGGGTAAAATAGTATTTTTTCTGTGCATTTGCATTCCTGGTTAAACCACATTTATACTCAGTTTGCTAATTTCTCGCAGAGTCTGAAATTACATTTCAATCAAAGAATATAACTGTCATTTAGTTGAGAAATTGCAGATAATGAAGTAGTTGATAGACATATTGTAAAATCCTTGAACATCGCAATATTTTTTATTACAAGATTATACCAGTTAAAAATTTGAGAAATTTGAGAGTATGATAGTGTGAAGTCAGATAAGTTTGCTGTAAATCAAAAGCATCCTGAACTCATTTGGATGATCGACCAAAATATGTCAAATTGTCATGTCTTTCTACTTCCATGCTTTTAGTAACTAAATAGGGCTTTCCACTCACTCCTCCTTCTTCTCCTGCATAAATTCAAACCCAAGGGAAGAAATATTGATCTAAAAGAAGATATGGAAGCAAATGGTTCCGTTTCACGAAGGATGTTCAGAGAATCACGTATTATCATAAAAAAAGAATGGCCATAGTAATTATCTACAAGTTTTCGAGAAAAAAATACTTATCATTAAAATAACAATATAAATTAAAATTATTTCTGTTTCGAAAACCTTATTATTTAAAAATAACTATAAAGACAGAGTACATTTGAGAGTTGGAATTAAACTTATTTTACAGTTGACTAAGTTATGAATCTCTTCAATTATCGAAAGCATCTAGAAACCTATCTAATTCTTAAAGATCCAGGAGACAAGCATATTTTGAAAGTGATGCATTTATTGAATCCATGGTTGGCAAGTATTGACCTAGTCAAATTATTAGAATCAGTCGGATCAATAGTAATTCAAAACCACTCATCTCATTAGCGTCTTCGGATTCAACTCGAGTTCAAGTTAAATTTATCTATTATGTTAATAATTGTTAGTCTCCCAATAGAGACATATATATATGTGTGTGTGTGCGTGTAAGGTGGATAAGCATTAACGATCAT